TTGCATGAGTCAGGCTGTATGTCTATATGTTTGTCTGGTTGTATGAGTATGTCTGCATGATTGTCTGTCTGTGTTTATCTTTGCCTGTGTGGCTATTCTGTCTGTATGATAGTTTGCGTCTGTCTGACCACTACAAGGAAGTACCATACACGCCAGTACTGGGGTGCCAAGGTTCAGTCCTAATATGGAGGTTAACTACTGCTAAGGGCCGACCCCATGTAGTGCTGAACCCGGCTAATCAGCTTCTGTGGCGTTACACACACACACACACACACACACACACACACACACACACACACACACACACACAGATGTCTATAAATGTACTACACGATGGAAATTTTGTCGGTGGCCCTCAAAGTGCCGCCATCGAGTTAAAGGCCACCATGGTCAAACACTTCTGTACGTCCACAACAACAACAGATATTAACAGATGTTCAGCGGTGAAGTACTCCAGGCGCACCTTGTGCAGTTTAAGGCGAGGGAACGGATATCCTAATGGCAGTGTTATTGCTGTACTAAAATCACTGAATATATTTCATGCCCGTTGCTATAGACGAGGACGTCATATACAGAAGCCCATCAGGACCATCACCTCCAGTAGAAAACCAGACCAACCTACTCCTGACAGACTTACACTGAAGTTCCCCAAATATGGTACAGTCTTCCCTCCTTACTACTCTCCGACATTACTAACTCTGCAATGCCTTCCTTCGGCCAGTGGATAATTCACCATCCATGGACTGAAGTACTAAGTGTGGATGAAGTAGTCACCAAATGAACAAATTACATCACCACCACCACGGAAGCTCACCACCACTTCTTCCCTGAGAAGTCAGTCAGATTACACCCAGCTGACTTGCCCTCAATCACACTTCGGATCAAAAAACTTATGCAGCAGAGAAACAGCGCCTTTTATCTCAATGACCACAACCGTTACAAAACCTTTCGCAACCAAATCATCCAAGAAATATGCACTGCTAAGAAGTCTTACTACCCAATCAAGCTGCAACACCTGAAACAGACCAACATCAGTCAGTGGTATGGTAAGCTTAAAGAACTCTGTGGACTAAACAATAAGACGCAACCCCTCCCTTCCCTTAGCCACCTCACTAATGGTGACGCAGATGAGCAACCTAATAATCATAACAAAAACCTGCAGTGAGACCCACGGCCAGATAGTAAGAAAACATCAGGATTAGTTTGTTGAAAATAACCAAAAAATCGACGTACTCGTCAATGGTAAACGTGCTGCCTTCACTGACTGGAAGAACAACCGAAGCTGATACCTTCCGCCAGAATAAAGCGAAGGCCCAGCGCGTACTTCGGAATCTAAAGAACGAATGGTGGAAAAATAAAGTGTAGGAAATGCAAAAAATGAATGGCCAAATTAGTCATGGCGTGACCCCCATCCGCTCACCCGACGGTAACTCCCTAATTAAGGACAAAGAAGACACCCATCAGCTCTTCAAAGAGCACTACCATTTGCTGTTCAACCAAACATTGACGTGGATGTCCTAACTCTCCGGCAAGTCCATCAGCACCCAGAGCTGACCCACCTCAGTTATCCTCCATCCCGTGATGAGGTAGTTACTACCATCGAGTAAATGAAAAATGACAAAGCTTCAGGGCCTGATGGAATCCCATCCGAGGTGTATAAAGCAGAAAGACCTCTGCTTACCAGCCGTCTCCACTCTCTCCTGGAGAATATATGGGAGGAAAAATTCTCAAGATCTTAAAGACGCCTCCACGGTCAGACTGTGGCAACTACCTCGGGATCTCGCTGTTGTCCATAGGTGGCAAGATTATCGCCCGAGTACTCCTAAGCAGACTTTATCCTAAGGCGGAAAAATTCCTCCCTGAATCTCAATGTAGCTTTAGGCCATCACAGGGCACCAGTGACATGATCTTTGCTGCCCGCCACATACAGGAAAAGGGCAGAGAACAACGTGGTGACTTGTACATACTCGTAGCCTTCATCGACTTAACTAAGTCCTTTGACTCGGTCAGCAGGGAAGCCCTCTGGCTGTTTTGGCTGTCCTCCAAAATTCATCGCCATTGTGAGACAACTCCAAGTTGGCATGAACGGCAGTGTCCTGCACAATGGCACCCATTCTGGATTCCTCCCCATACAAACGGGAGTAAAACAAGGATGTGTACTGGCAACAACTCTCTTTTCCATTTTCATAGCTGCCTTCCTTATTCATGTTAGTGCCAATTTAGCCGGCGGGGTGGACATCCAGGGACCGGATGAAGGGACCTTTCAACATAAGACGACTTCAGGCAGGAACTAAGTGTCGGCTGCCTCCACCACTGAACTTCAGTAAGCAGATGACATTACCCTCCTCGCTCACACTGAACGCGACCTACAGAAGATCCTGAACCCCAATGGAGATGCGTATGCACATTTCGTCCTTGAGGTGAATGTGTACTAGCTACAAAAGTGTCTGCATTTTTTTTTTGCTAGACAATACAACACAACAGAGGAAGGATTTTGACAACCATACCGAGACAATAGGTTCTACCGTGTTCACTTTGACAACCATCAGAGCTCATCTTGCAAATAAATTCTGTAGCAGGTGTACCTAAGACACACACACACACACACACACACACACACACACACACACACACACATGTAAACAAACAGTCAACGCGGCTGTTTATAGACACAGAACACACGGATCTTAGTAAAGTCAACAGCACATTGTCTACGTATCCTGAACACAGTATTCCCGGATATTCTCAGTATATTTGCAATCGTTAAGTTTGCAGGTAAGAGATCGAATAATTTAAAGAAATCAAGCAAAATGCGGTTATTATAGCCCCTTGAGTACGATGATTTTGCCTCTTGAGTACTATGAGTTAACCCCATTATTATGATGGGTTTAACCCTTGAGTACGATTATTTAACCCCTTGAGTATGATGAGTTAGCCCATTGAGTAAGATGAGTTAATTGCGTTAGTATAATGGGTTAACCTTTGTGAACAATGAGTTAACCCCTTGAGTACTATTAGTTCACCCCTTGAGAACTATGATTTAACCCCCTGAGTACGATGAGTTAATCTCTTGAGTACGATTAGTTAACCCCTTGAGTACGATGATTTAGAACCTTGAGTGCGATGAGTTTTGTGTTGGGTAATTTATTCTTTTGAGTACGATGATTTAACCCCTTGAGTACGATGAGTTAACCCCTTGAGTACATGACCTGGTTGTTGATAGCTTAATTTTATAGATCTATTTAATTTGCATATTTAATTTTAGGGACTCCAAATGACCTAGTTCTACTGTGTGTGTGTGCGTGTGTGTGTGTGTGTGTGTGTGTGTGTGTGTGTGTGTGTAAGAAAGACAGACAGAGAGAGAGGACAGACACGCAGGACTAAATAACAGAGTGAGAAAGAGACAAAAATACCCCCATCCCAGCTAATTATGCCCCGCAACAGCTAGTAATGCCCCCTAGCTAGTCATGCCCTTCCACAGCAAGTCATTACCTGCCTAGGCAATTATGCCCCGCCCCAGCTAGTAATGCCACAGCTTGTAATGCCACAGCTTGTAATGCCCCAACCACATTTAGCTATACCCTCCTCAGCTTATAATGTCCAGCCCTAGTTAGCTATGCCCCGCCCCAGATAGTAATTCCCCAGCTAGTAATGCCCCGACCCAGCTAGTCATGGCCAGCCCCAGCTATGCCCCGCCCCAGCTAGTTATGTCCCCCCAAGTAACACTGCCCCGACCCAGCTAATCATGGCCAGCCCTAGCTAGTCATGCCCCCAGAGAGTAATGCCCCTCCCAGCTATAAATTCCTCATCCCAGTTAAGATGCCCCACTCTTAACTATGGTACCCCACTCTTAGCTAGGATGCCCCATTCTTAAGTATGGTACCCCACTCTTAGCTAGGATGCCTCACTCTTAACTATGATACCCCAACCCAGCCCATGCCCTACCCTAGATAGGATACCCCGCCCTAACTAGTAACTAGTGTGTCGCACTCCCATCTAGGATGCCCCGCCCCAACTAGTATGCCTTGCCTTAGCTAGGAAGCCCCGCCTCAGCTAGGATGCCCCGCCCCCAGCAGGTCGGGGTAGAGTAAGCTGGGACAGCATCCACGGGCAGTGTTGGTTCGCCCTTCGAGCTGGGTGCACCTACCCATGTGAGCGTCACCTGTGTGTACCTCGACTCCGTGTGCGTGGCCGTCGTGTGTGCGTATGTCGCCTCCTCCCCTGGCCCCCCCCCCACGCTCAACCATTCATCCAGAAGAGCTCCTCAGCCGCCAGCGTCCCCCCGTCATCCACGTCACCACTCAGCCATCCAATCTGACGCTACTAACCCAGATTAACTACAAGAAAGTCAATTCGGGTTTGGAAAAAAAAAGACGATCGGTGTTTAAGCTGATTTTTGCCTCATTTGTTTCCTCGTCGGCGAGTTTCCTGGATTTGTCTTAGTTATCAGTGGGTTTTCCTGGTGCTGGCGGAGTGGTGACATGTTTCCTGTACTAGCGAACGCATTTAAGCGGACGGTGTGGGCGACTCCTGGTAGTAAACAACATTTTAATACCTTGTGAGAAATTTATACACATACACATCCACGCCTAGAACCTCGCACGGGTCATGGTGTACAACTGATGAACAGTGTACAAATGTATTACTGGAAGTGATACACACACGTACACAGACTCACATACACACACATACATGCATACTCTCACAAATAATCTCACGGACACTCACACAAAATGTATTGGATAAATGAAGTGATTTCGTATGTATTATTCCTTATTTAAAAAAAATGTGATACATAAAGGGGATTGTAGACAAACTGATGTATATTTCGTGGCGGAAAATTATTAACCTATAAGAGAAAAAGGTGTATAGTACAGTCACGGGTAAACACATGTTAAACAGTGCTTTAAAACATGAAACAAACAGTAATAGCTGATAGTGTGGACAGTGTTTTAGTGAGTCTTTAAGGACCTGTCTCCGCCATTCAGACGCTCGATGACAATAGCCGGTGATTTACAGGTGTGTGTTGGGGCGGTATTGTACTCTTTAAATACCTGTCGTGTTTAAAGACCCATAAACATCGAGCAGAAGACAGTAATAGAGACAAGTATTGCCTTAACCGGTAACTAATTCACAAAACACCTGCACTGTTGAAACACCTGTGAACATCTGATTGAAGACTTTAATAAGTTCTGGCTTTAGCGGCAACTAACTACAGAATATTCTTGTAAAAACAGATATGGAATTAACAGTAACCGCGTTAGACATATCAAGTAAGAGCCAGACATATGTATGAGAACCAGTAATGTACAAAGGTAAATTAATTAAACAATTTTCACCTGTGCGTAGACCCCGTAGACAATCACCTGGTAGACATTAGAAGGAAATAATGTAACTAACTGTAGCCCTGTTAGAGGGAGTTAGGTATCAAGTCAGACTAAAGAATATCAACTACGGCCGATTGTGTTAGACAGCCACGTGTTAAATCTGATAAACCGTTTCTACTATAAGTGAACCATACCCGTGTTAACCAGCTATAGACAAACACCTGTCGTTATACACCTGTTAGAAATATCAAAACACCGCGATAGGTAAAAGTTCAATAAAAAGGCAACAGACTCAAGAACACCTGTTAGAGGAACACAAGTGACTCCCCTGTATCTTACACACCTGTCAGAAGAGTCAGGGTGTAAGGGGAGCCAAGTGTGTGTCACATCACCAAATACATACATGACACATCTGGTCAAATCCACCCCAAGGGAGCTACACCTGAACCAGAGGTAAGTGCGTGATGACAGTCTTTGTGTGTGATGAGTCATAAACAGCGGTATAATAATGCACTATAAACTCACCTTCCCTCTATTATCGTCTTTATATTCCATTAAGTAAACACAACTATTAACTCCCAGTGCCTGAATAAACTTCTATGTTAATCTATGAGTAATAAATTTCCCACACCAAGCTACAATTCTGACAATTTGACAATTAAAATATTTCTGTCCCACAAACTTTACCTCACCCCAAACCTATTATAATGTAACTTATTCAATAATTAATTACCTATATTATTGGTTCATTAACAATACAATCTACCAATGCATTTTCAGCTTCTAATAGACTACTTTATATTCCACTTAATATTCCGCTATAAGAGTTCACTACAAGGCGCATCGCTGTAACACTGTTATTAATGTGTGGTTGTCGTGCCGTTGTAACTATGGACACGTTATTTGGTTGTTAATCTTCCATCGGGCGGAACAAAACGCGGCGTGCGAGGATCACTTGAGGGTCTATCTTAATGTGAACATATAAATATGATATTATGGTTACCAATTTTGGAATATATACAGAAATTATGCATTTTTCTAGCAATTAAGTAATGGTGTCCTTTTGAAGATTGACTTAGAATATTACTTGTTCTGAATATAGCGGAATTTCCTCCCCTGTAGCACAAATTGCACAGAGTCCCACAAAGGCAATGTCTAGACTCACTATTAAATAAAAAATAAATTAGAATATTATCCTCTGTACCGCATTCCCTATACAGCTCATCACTAATACTAAAACCACAATTATTATGAGTTATCAAAACTGTTCTTCTCTCTATCCCTCATTTGACGGAGTTCTCCAAGGGTTGAGTCTAGACCCTCTCCTATTCAGAATATGCACGAGGTATTTTCTGTAACATATAAGTAATGATGCAGTACATGAATTTCCTTGAGATAAATGTACAATATTTATCAAGTGCTACCCCGCCTCTCACTATAGCCATGTCAATATTGTTGTTATTGGTGACTTTGTATCGGTATTACTATGGCTAAATAAATTGTTCCAATCAATCAATCAATATAAGTAATGTTGGCCTAATGGAGCCGCTGTTGTTATCTATATGTGAAATTAATATCACTTAGTAGGCCATATATAATGGCGTCCATCAAGGGCTGCTTTTGGTGCCATTATTATTCTGAAGATATAAAATAGCGTGTGTTTTAGAAGGGAAATAATAGTACCAGGAGAGGCTAACCGTGCAGCCATAGTTCCTAGTAGTCTACATCCCCAAAGTTTTCATCAGAGACGTTAGAACCCGTAAAGAAGACTCTCCTTTTCTTTAATCGATATAATAAATAAGTCATTTTCCCGGTGGTAAACTGAGTCAGCTACAGGCAGAAGAATTACTGCACAAAGCAAACAAGATGGTCATTTATTATACACGAGTAAGACTTATGGTAATGTTGGTGATTTACAGGGTAGTAAAGTTAACTTATGCTGCCTTATTTATTACGGCTGTCGGTAATTACGTTTATAATAAAGTAGATTTAACAGTCTTATATATATATATATATATATATATATATATATATATATATATATATATATCGTGTGTGTCAGGAAAGGGCTTTGGCATTAAGAAAATAATAAAGCCATATTATTTTCCATAGAAAAAACATAAAACATCTGTCTTAAGAAATAAGAAATACTATAGTTATATTAGATGGCGGCGGCGGCCTTTACCTGTGCTCATTAAGGTGAACTCAGGTAATACCTGGCCTTCACAAACAACCAATTAGACCCACATGCAAATTAGTACATTTAGATCAGGAGACAAATGCATGTTCTGGCCTCTCATCTCTCACTCTACGTCTCTCATCTCTCACTCTACGTCTCTCATCTCTCACTCTACGTCTCTCATCTCTCACTCTACGTCTCTCATCTCTCACTCTACGTCTCTCATCTCACTGCATGTCTCTCTCATCTCTCACTCTCATCTCTCACTGCATGTCTCTCATCTCACTCTACGTCTCTCATCTCTCACTGCATGTCTCTCATCTCACTCTACGTCTCTCATCTCTCACTGCATGTCTCTCATCTCTCACTCCATGTCTCTCATCTCTCACTGCACGTCTCTCATCTCACTCTACGTCTCTCATCTCTCACTGCATGTCTCTCATCTCACTCTACGTCTCTCATCTCTCACTGCATGTCTCTCATCTCTCACCCCATGTCTCTCATCTCTCACTGCATGTCTCTCATCTCTCACTCCATGTCTCTCATCTCTCACTGCATGTCTCTCATACATAGACATCATAATAGTTGTAAATTACTGTTTATAGCAGAAATATTAGTGATGGTGGCCATTTGTGTTATAAGGTACAGTACTTATTATAATGATGGTGGTTAGGTTTTATTATTATTATTACTATTATTATTATTATTATTATTATTATTATTATTATTATTATTATTATTATTATTATTATTTTTATTTTTATTTTTATTATTATTACTATTATTATTATTGTTGTTGTTGTTGTTATCATTATTATTATTGTTATTGTTATTGTTACTGTTATTATTACTGTTATTATTGTTATTATTGTTTATTATTATTATTATTATTATTATTATTATTATTATTGTTGTTGTTGTTGTTGTTGTCATTATTATTATTATTGTTATTATTGTTATTATTATTATTATTATTGTTGTTTTTGTTGTTATTATTTTATATTTTAATTGTGATGTTTACAGTATATCAATATATTTTGATTATAATGATATCAGTGATATTATTTTACAATCATTATATTGTTGAATAATAATAATAATAATAATAATAATAACAAGAACTTTAACAACAATAACAAGAACAACAACTACAACACCAATTCACCGAAATAGCTTTTATGTCATACTGTAAACAGAACACACACCACCAATACCCCTGCCACCTCCTAGTCTCTCACACACACACACACACACACACACACTGTAAACCACATTTTGCCATTAACAAATATGTCCGCCAAAGACAGACGTACACATTAACTCTATAATCGTGTTTTAAAAGCAACATCAGACTATTATTATTTTTTTATTATAATCACTAATGGCTTTATGTTAAATAGCTCCTTAATGACTTGTCACTCAAACCCCTTGACGGTTCTTAGCCAATCTTCATGTGTACTAGTGTGTATGTGTGTATAATGTATATATTTGTGTATATGTGTGTGTATTTTGTGCATATATGTGTATATTCGTGTATGTGTGTATATTTACGTGTACATGTTGCCCAATTAAGAAAAGGAAGAGTAGTTGGTGGGAAGGAAGGAGGGAGGGAGGGAAGGGAAAGAAGGAGAGGTAAGGAAGGGAAGGGAAAGAGAAATGGGTAAAGGGAAGAGAAAAATTAAAAACATAACTGGAGGGAATAAGAAAAGGGATGAGTGGAGAGGGATTAGGGAGAGAGAGAGAGAGAAAATATAAAGGAAATTAAGAGAGACAGAAACGTACAGATACACAGACAGACACTACAGTACGAGACAAACTAACAGACACAGCACTGCAAACAGACAGACTGACAGACACACAGACCGACAGACTCACAGACCGACAGACACACAGACCGACAGACACACAGACCGACAGACCCACAGACCGACAGACACACAGACTGACAGACACACAGACCGACAGACTCACAGACCGACAGACACACAGACCGACAGACTCACAGACCAACAGACACACAGACTGACAGACACACAGACCGACAGACTCACAGACCGACAGACACACAGACCGACAGACACACAGACCGACAGACACACAGACCGACAGACACACAGACCGACAAAGTGACTAACTGACCAAAAAATAAACAAACAAATCGAAAACAGACAGACAGACAGACAGTCAGACAGACAGACAGACAGACAGACAGGTAATGTTTCCCATCCTGATGATCGACTAATTGGTTGACAGAATGATAGATGAAATGATAGATTTATTGATGACTCTCTCTCTCTCTCTCTCTCTCTCTCTCTCTCTCACACACACACAGACATATTTTTTTAAGCTATAATATAATCCTTCATATTTATTAGCATGTTGACAGTCTCCAGGTTATATTTATGACCCTTGTGTCTGGATGACCTGGATGCCCCATTACATAGGAATTGGCGCCGTGGGTCTCTAGGTCACGCCATAAAGTGTACAGGGACTGACGATGCCACCCCCAAACATGCTCTGGTTGGTGGTGTTATTTACGTGATAACATTTTTACTCCACTTAAGTTAGCGAGAAAATGTAGAAATATTTTGTTTGTTTTATGCTTGTTGTGGTGTGTGTGTGTGTGTGAGTGTGTGGGTGGGTGGGGGTGTGTGTGGTGTGTGTGTGTGGTGTGTGGGTGGGTGTGTGTGTGTGTGTGTTTTAGCAAGAAAAATAAGCAGTAAAGATAGAATTGACAGATTCGTTACCTGTATTTTGTGTCACTTTATTCACAGACAGACAGACAGACAGACAGACAGACAGAGATGTGTACTATGCCTTATCAGCTAACGTTACCTGGAGGGTTAGGTTAGGTTAGGCTAGGTTAGGTTAGGTTAGGTTCGGTTAGGATGTTTATTGATCAGGTGAAAGTAATTCCTAATTCACATTCACATGGGAAGACGTTTTTTACAAATTAACTAAACTAATTAATCTCTTCATGATTATAGGTTAATTAGAACAACGTTATATACACCATTAATTAGTCTTGATACTAAAAACCACATATAATTTATGGTTAAAGCTAAGGTAATCCAACCCTAAACCAGTGAACGATGGATTGTGGTAATTATAAATTCTAAAATGATCTTCTAACTAATCAACATATTAAGAGCACCTGTCTCTTCCACCTGAGTTTGGTAATAATTTGAGAATAATACAATGTATAAACTTATGCTTGAAAAAGGATTGAAAAATAATAACTAAAAATAAAAATTACTATGAAATGCAGGTCAGT